GGAAGGAATACGGCGATGTATGGAAGGAGCTCCGCAAAGGTGCGTGCACCTGGAGGCTGGCTTCCAAGGCGCACTGCTGTAAAGTTAAGCTGATGTGCCAGACTGTGTGCATAGGTGTCTACATGTCCCACATCTTTCGCCATTCTGTCCGAATCTCCACCGAATCTCAAATGTGAATACAGTTCCGTCACCTGGAAATTCAGAGCTACTGCGCATCGGCCCGGCGCACCCACTGAACAGCTGTCGGCAGCACAAGAAATCGCTGTAGTTGCACGCCCCTCGGAGAATGACACTGAGAAGATGGAGAGTATCATCGTCGAGCGACAGTGTGATATACAAGTGCAGTATCTCGTTACTGTCTTGGGCCATAGCTTAGTGACCATCTGTAGCTGGCAGGGTAATATATCATGTGCTACAACTACAGCATATCCCGTGTTATATCCTCACCTATGATCATGGCACCGCTATAATATATCGTCCTCTTGTGCTTGCAGCGCACTGCTGATTAATTACAGCATGGCATGCCAGTGATTAATCCTGTCCTCAAATTTTCAGCGCAGCCATTCCCCCATCAATCCCGCTCTTTGCATTTTTTTTGCGGCGCAGCCATTCCCCCCATCAATCCCGCCCCTTCCATTTTCTCGGTGATGGCCTCCCCCCATCAATCCTGCCCTTTTCAGTTTCTCAGCACCGGCTTTTCCCCCCCCAATCAATCTCGCCCCCTCCATGTTATCGGTGCCAGCCTTTCTCTATCATGGTCAGTCCCGCCCTCTTCTACAATGCTACTGCCTTCAGTCAGTTTCATTTTCTCCAGACCAGTACACTTGCACGGAGGGCATCTCGATCGCCACCTTGAAGACAACCCAAACACAGTATGAATACTGCTATATACGATTTATAATATTCCGTGCGTGGCACATATCTTTGCACCATGACGTTGCTAACAGAAATGGCTGCACCGCGCGCAATGAATCACGATGCATCGCATCACTGTGCTGCATTGGCGTGCGCTGATAGGTGGCCATGCATCGTGATTCATCGCGTCGCTATACTGTGTTGGTGTGCGCTGACAGGCGGCCACACCACACGCGATGTATCACGATGCATCACATCGCTGTGTACTCTGACAGGTGGCCACACCGTGCGCGATGTATCACGATGCATCGCATGGCACTGCGCGTGATGAATTACGATGCATCATGTCACTGTGCTGCATCGGTGTGCACTGATAGGCGGACACACTGCACATGATGCATTGTGATTCATCGCGTCGCTATACTGCATTGTGTGCATTACAGGCGGCCACACCGTGCGCGATGTATCATGATGCTTCGCGTCGCTGTGTACTCTGACAGGCGGCCACACCGCGTGCAATGAATCACGATGCATCGCATCGCTGACAGACCGTTTTACCGTGTGCGATGTATCACATCTTAGTCTTACAATTTCTCGCAGACTCGGAAGTTGCATGTACATACATTTTTGGAGCCAAAATTGAATGACAATGATGTACTATTGATTAATCTTTCGCCGTGTTATCTGTTGTACAAACCTTAAGTTTCAACCATTCTCCCACATGTCTCCATGTGTGCTTGCAGAAAGCACCTAAGGATGTTCGCAGTTCTGCCTGATGCAAGGCATATGCAACTAGGCCCTCCTGATGCTCCTCGAACGCTGCTATCTTCCGTCCTATCTGATCAAGCCACCATCTGGCTTGGTATTCATGGAATGCGATGACACACCACATTTCTTCTTCAATCAATTCGCATTCCTCTGCTCAGCGGCTGGCGCGTGCTCTCACCTTACATCATTTGATACGTAATGCTGAGAAGATCATCAACCATTGTAAGTGAAGTGCAGTTTCAGACACTAACCTTCTTGCAGGCCTTGTTCATCATTTGTAGAACCTATGGCTGTCGTTCGCCAAATCCATGACATCGTACGTCGTCCCTCACTCTCTGTGAGAAGTCCTTCTGTCATTTCTCGGACATCGTCACCATGAAGTGGACGGAGATCTGATTGCCATGCTTGATCTCCTGTTACGGTGCTCAAGGTTTCAAGAGCTCGGTATGTGACTCGATAGCGTGTCACATCTGCGAGAACCTTCTTTTGAACACTGTCAATGATCCCTCGAGCACGTGTATTGGGTCGCTGCCCACGGACAAAGTGATCCTTGAAAGTATAAAGATGGCCATGCAGTCGAAGGTGTCGGCGTAAGGCCTCCAGAGCATCATGTGCTTGGGCCTGCCGAAGGCACAGCTCGCAGTCGATAAGGAGGGCATCACAAGAAACACGGCCCAGAACGTCAGAGGGTAAGAACAGGGGGGTAGTGAGAATGGATGCAGCATTGCTGACGTGGTTGGCATTGTCACTTGGGCGAGAGCGCAGGGCTGTGACCCCAGGCATATACAGGTGTTGGATCTCGATCCATGCCTCAAGACGTCGCTGCAGGTTATTTTGACGTTCAAGGACCTTCGCTCATTGGAGATCTGTTGAATGTGCACCGAGCTCAGCAGAATCTTCACGAAGATGACATCTGTATGTATAAGATGCTCCAAGAGAGTTCTACTATCAATATGCATGTTAAGACGCACTGTAGCTCCTCAATTTCCAACCTGTACGTTATCATAACACTTGGAGAAATATGGTCATGAATCGGCACTGTTTTGCCAATCTGAAGCCGTGTTGCATCTTCTTGTGCCAATTGAAGATGCACGGAGGCCTGCGTGAGTGCTATACACACAACAAATTTAGAGAGACATCAAAAAAGTCGCAAACATTTAACGTACCTTTGCGTGTAATCTCATAAGGATTTAGACTTGAGCGGTCTTTTTCCCATGCCTCAACAGCTTGCGTCCACTGGGCAACAGATGTTTCTGGTAAAGCCAAACTAAACTCTTCGAATGCGGCGACATAGACGCTGCATTCATTGATTGCATTCTTCACTTTAGTGAGTAAAGATTGCGCTACAAAACAGTGAGATATTGGCACAATAAAGTGAGGTGTGTACTTACCAATGTGAGTAACCTTGCTCCAGTTGTATGCACCAAAGACATCATCAAGTAGATCCCGCCGTGAGCCCAGACCCATCTCCTTTGTGCTCGATGCAAATGGGTTGACAGCTGACCAACCTCACTCGACAGCCTCGCCATCAGTGCGGCCGACATGCAACGCAGTATTGAATGAGTAATTCAGGTGACAGAACTCTCGATGAGCAGGCAGATGGAATTTAGGATCCAAAAAGGTAATGACACGCCTTGCAAAGTCCCACTGAGGCATGTATCGCCGCATTCTCTCCCAGAGATGTATGGATCATTGACACGCAATGTCGTACGACACCATAACGGTAACCTGTCCTGCCTGCTCCATGCTGCTGGCAAACAAGTAATCCATGTTTACATACCTAAAAGGCGTCGTTCAGTGTATAAATATCATAGAAGAATATTATACATACCGTTCGCCTTTTTGCAGATCACCCACGGAGCATGGTCACTTCATATCGTGGCGTGTACACTCGACCGTGCCAACACCACTAGCCGCTGTGCCTTGTGAGCCTCGCATGTTCGCGAGCTTGACTGCATCGTGATTGCTGCAGGCCGGACTGCCTTCTTCTCTGATGACATTGCTGAAAGTGTTGAGATGTTCCTTGTACTTCGCTTCTTCAACAAAGTAGGCGAATCCGGCATTGAGACCAGGGTCGACTTCGTCAGTGGAAACCTTCTTCCTCTTCAGGCGGAAATTCGCATCTATGTCGAGGAACAGACGATAAAGCCAGCTAGTGATGGTATATAAGCACTCGCATAATCATGATGACAAAC